CAGAGTAATCAGGTATCGTACCATGGCCCTCAAGCTGGCATACCGCACAGCACGAGCTTGCCGGCCTCTCAACTTCCTGCTCCTGCTCCTCAGCTCTACAACACGCCGGACTTGATGCCTGACATAAATGATATCTGGAATGGTCCTTTCCACAACCCTGCTGTCTCTAGCAGATCGGGTACGTCACGCTCGTCTCGACCAGCTCGGCCTCAGCTCTCAAGCTCTTCCAATAGTATCTTCTCTTCGGATAACAGATCTCTGGCCTTTCCTAGTTTACCCGGTGGCCTGGTGGCCGTCGATAGCTCGCGGCCGGGCACATTAATCAATGGGGACTACTATGCGCCGAATAACTCGGGCTCTAGCAGAGTACACATACCATCGCTGACCGACGTAATCAGTCGGACTGCTACCTACGATTTCAGCTCCATGACTGATGTATGGGGGAATCCATTAGACGAGAGGCTGACGACGTTTGGTCTGGATGATCCCTTGAAGAGAGAGGACGAGATCAGTAAGCTGCTATCCAACATTCGGCCAGATGAGGATATACCACCGGAGGAACGCGGAGACACACCACCAGATTTGAAGTACCCCCTCTATCCACACCAGCAGTTGGCACTCAAGTGGATGACTGATATGGAAGGGGGCCACAACCGGGGTGGAATTCTTGCCGATGATATGGGCCTGGGGAAAACGATTTCGACGTTGGCACTCATGGCTAGCCGCAGAGCTCCGGAGGGTGAAGTGGCAACCAACTTAATCGTTGGCCCCGTGGCTTTGATCAAGCAATGGGAACTTGAGATCCAGAACAAGATGAAAGAGGACCGCCGCATGAATGTCTATCTCTATCACGGCGGGTCAAAAAAGAAGCCTTGGATGGAACTCCAGAAGTACGACGTTGTGCTAACCACGTACGGTACCCTGACTGCTCAATTCAAGAAACACCATCATTATCTCGAGAAAAATGCCGAGAGCCTGAATGGGTTGGATGAGCAAGCTGAGAAGCGATATCGGCTTGAGTGCCCGATGCTTCATCCTAGCACCAAGTTTTTCCGCGTCATTTTAGACGAAGCCCAATGTGTCAAGAACGCCAATACAATGCAGTCTCGAGCTGTCCGCCAGGTTCGAGCGAGTTACCGATGGTGTCTGACTGGAACGCCCATGATGAACAGTGTTTCGGAGCTTTCCTCTCTGCTGCGTTTCCTGCAAATCAAACCTTTCTGTGACGAGAAGAAATTCAAAGAAGCCTTCGCATCTTTGGACCACAAGTACAACGGACGCGACGTTGAAAAGAGCACGGCCATGAAACAGTTACAGGCTTTGTTGAAAGCCATAATGCTGAGGCGCATGAAGACTACGGTGATAGACGGCAATCCCATTCTGAACCTGCCTCGGAAGTCCCTGTACACTGAGCACGTTGAGTTCTCCGAAGGCGAGCTTGAATTCTACAAGAATCTACAAGAGAAGTCTCAGGTCATCTACGGCAGATATGTGAGAAATAACACAGTGGGCAAGAATTACTCAAACATTCTCGTCCTTCTCTTGCGACTCAGACAAGCCTGCTGTCACCCGCATCTCACCGACTTTGAGGCTAACCCCAAGAATCATCTGGCCGAAGCTACAATGATTGAGCTGGCGAAGACCCTGGAGCCTGTCGTCATTGACAGGATCAAGCAAATCAAGGCATTCGAATGCCCTATATGCTATGATGCGGTCATAGACCCTACCATCCTACTTCCCTGCGGTCATGATATTTGCGCGGACTGCTTTTCCTCGTTGACTGACCAATCCGCTATGAACGGAATCCGAAACGGACAGGACGGAGCGAATGTCGCCAAATGTCCGGTTTGCCGTGGCCCCGCTGACCATACAAGGGTGACCAATTACACGTCTTTCCAGGCTGCTCATATGCCTGAAGCCCTGGAGAAGTTGGACAACGATGATGCAGATTCTCTTGTCGGTGATGACGACAGTGGCTCCGGCGATGGATCAGACACGTCGGATGGGTCGCTGGGCAGTCTCAGTGGGGAGAAGAAGCGTAAAGCAAAGAGCGAAGGGAAACGTCCTACAAAGGTTAAGCCGGAAGAGAAGGAGGACTGGAAGCCGACCGTTTTTGACCAATTGCGCAAAGAAGCAAACGCCAGCAGAAACCAGGACGCACGAGATCGCCTACTCCAGTACACTTGGGACCATTGGCAAGACTCGGCCAAAGTAAGTCGAGTGACCGAACTGGTTTATCAGTTTCAGCAGTTCAACGAGAAGACCATCATCTTTTCGCAGTGGACGTCTCATCTCGATCTCATTGAGTGCTCTCTCAAGTTCAAGCTCAACATCAAGTACCGTCGCTATACAGGTAATATGTCCAGATCCCAACGCGATAATGCCATCCAGGCGTTTGTCGAAGATCCTGACGTCAAGGTATTACTGGTCTCTCTCAAAGCCGGAAATGCGGGCCTCAATTTGACTGTTGCTTCGCGCGTCATTGTTTGTGATCCCTTTTGGAATCCGTTCATTGAGGACCAGGCCGTCGACAGAGCCTATCGAATCGGCCAACAACGGGAGGTTCACGTTTACAAGATTTTGGTTCAAGAAACGATTGAGGATCGCATCATAGAGTTGCAGAACCTGAAGCGAAACATTGTCGAGACGGCGCTTGATGAGACCGAGGGTAAGCAGCTCGCAAGGCTTTCCATCGACGACCTCAACTACCTTTTCACTGGTCGCCGTGGCGGTGCACGACAACAGTAAAGAGGAGGAGGAAGAGGAGGAGGAGCACGTCGCTACCCTACCCGTCACCATCGTTTTTTTGGCTGCGAGTGTTGAGGAGAGAAACATTACGTGGATGCGGGAGCGTATTTCAGGTCCAAGAGATGCCGATGTAAACGCATAGCTTGGAACGCCTTGTGATCACCAAATCCCGGAGTTAACATCGCTCTTGTGTATGAATTTGCTATCTGCGCGATGCAGTATTGGAGCATTCAGGGGGTTTCACGAACAGTTCTGTCTTTTCGGCATGTTGAATCGAGGAGTATGCCGCTGTGGTGGATTACCATTTCTGCCTCGATAAAGCTGAACAGGCAGCTTGTTACTAGACAGCGGGTGTTGCTATTAATATGTATATATAAATTGTTGGCTGATGAGGAGGAAATCAGCAGCGGAATTTTATCTGAAATTGATCGAAGCTTGTCGGTTCCGATATTGTATGTGCTGGTTTCTCTCGACACAGGGGACGCGCTGCCTACCTTGATCTACCTTGCGTAGGAAAACATGGCACTGTTGTAAGCAGGAAACAGAGAGTTCCAGGAGATGAGGCTTCTTCTTTCGCTGCCTTTGTGATGCTATTACGAGCATCAACAGGGAGGCTGGTTAGCGGCAGACCACCCCCCTCCCCTAAATCTAGACTACTCAACCGTTTCGGGTAGGACTTACCAACTTTTTCCTATAGTACAAATAAGATCGCGCAACGGAAGGGCTATCGAAATTTGAACCTGGTACTGAGGTGAAGTGTTAAGGACTGTGGAGATAAGTCAAGTTCCTATGTAGAAGTCGCTCCCAAAGCGGTTAGGTAGTCCTGATACCTACATATAGGGAAGCCCGCCCCACGACCGGGGAAGTTCACTCCGGAATGCCAAGCAGGCACACCATATACATACACTAGTATACTTTTTGTATGCTACTACTTGTACCGGGCTAGTCGCCAATGGTGGTCTTACCCCAGTACATTCTAGCCAAGTTGTTGTGGCTAAAAGACACGTGCAAGAAGACGCAGGTCTGAAATCTAAAGTGCGCAGAAGAACGGCCGAATCCGCTCCAAACGGCAGCGCGAGAGAGGAAGGCGTTTGGGACGACCGATCGTCGCCCATCTCCTGCAAGTCACTCAGTCAGCGCCCATGGCTTTACGAGTTACCACTTCCCATCTCTCCCCCCGAACAGAATATATTCTCTCACAGTCTCGCATGAGGCGCACCATGAAGATATCGGCGACGGGTCCAAGGACGCAATTCCATGGCGGACAGCGTGGAGACGTGAATGTCAGCTCACCCATACAGTACATGACTGTGCGATTATTTGATAAACAGAGATGGAAGGAGTTCTTTCCCTGCAAAGGGCGATGATGGCTGGACAGATCTGGGGTAGGCTGTTTCCTTGTTGGGACAAAACTCCGATCCAAAATCAAACAGTGCGGATGAAGGATGGTGATATATCAAAAGAGCAGTCTGATGGAAGAACGGCATCCAAATGACGAGCAATGACTGGTCAGCGGTACGGAATCGCCCCTTGTCAGCAGTGAGCGACACCACCCTCAAAAAGAGAACCCCCTATATGCTGTTGGCTGCCCTGCATTGACGTTCCCAATTCCATCATGGCTTGGCATCTGACAGGATTCAGACCTCGATCATTGATTGCACTGCAGCCGCTCGACTCTCTGGCCATCACTCGCTCGCCGCCGCTCACTCGCACGCAATGTTACACCTCTGCATGGCTCTAAAATGCTAGCTCAGTCTTTCCGAGTGGCAAGGAACCTTAGTATTTGTACAGGAGATAGCTATCCTGTCATCTGTCTGCTCCCTGTTAGTCGTACCAAGCTAACGTTTTATATTCATGCAGAGGCGTACACAAGTGGTATGTCTACCGCTCTAGGTGGGCAACCGCGGCCTTCTGTGTCCCGAAACAATGGGGATTGCCTGTTCCTGGGATGGGACTGTCAAACTAGGGGGTCATCAAACCGTCGAATCTGGAGGCGCAGCAGGGTCAGAACTCCGAACAAGCATGGAGGTGGTGATAAGGCTGGTCCTCAGGATGTGTCCGCGTCTCGAAAGGACTCGGAGTCTGGAAGTTGATGCATGGCGGATGGAAAAAAGCCACAAGAAATGAGGATCATGAAGAAGAGGAGGGAAGTCACGCTGAGTGAGTGGATGAGTAAAGAGAAAAGAAAAAAAGAACAGCCGGCCCATCATTATTTCAGAGTTGGATTGCTCTTTCTGGACTGGAATTAAGACTTGAACGTGAACTGGAAGACGATTCACTCGTATGAGATTTCTAGACCCAGGCAACCTCCAATCGGACGTTCCAGTTGTCTGGGGTTGAAATTACACTTTCTTCCGCTCCGACCCCACGTTCTTTTCTTATTCCAGGCTCTGTTGTAACCTCTCCATGTATCAAGCGGAAGGATTCCGCTCGTTTGCAACGACGTCGCTTTCGTTGCTAGGCATTGCGGCTGCTGCCAAGCGCGCTGCAGTCTATTGGTATTACTTGTATCCAAGACCACGCCGTCCCCCTTTCTCACCTTGTAAACTCTCACCTCTTCCTCCGGTTCCGCTACTTTTCGTAACCTCCATCTTTGATCCCTTCAAGAGAACCCCGTGCTCTGGTTCTCCTCTCATTCGCAATGGCTCTTTTTGGCGCCATGTCAATACCTAAGCCGCTGTTGACGCTTCTGCTCGTGGCGGCTTCAGTCACACCCTCTGAGGCTTCCATGGCATCATGGTGGAACTCGGTCGCTAGTCAGGTTGTCGTCTTGAACGAGACCACTGGCCAATACAGATACACCAGATGCAATACCATGGGAATGGATACTATCTACTATTCAACCACGGGCGGCAACTATCTGAATTTCACCCAAAGCCCGCCCAAAGCCGGCAGTCCTTTGGCCGGGACGGGCTGGTACGACCAAACAAATACCTGGTCAGTCCTTCTCTGTCTTATTCCTGGCGACGACGTTGCTAACTTCACCCCAGGGCATCATTATTTTACTTCGATGAATCCAATAGCCTTAGAAATGCCATCTTCAAGTGTAATCCGTCGACCGGTCTTTACATGGACGCAGAGTCAGGATTCTACCCCGTTGTGGCTGGGGGAGCGCCGGCACCTCACACTAACTCGGGCATAGCCGCCTTTCTCCGCGACCAAAACCGTGGTTATCGGCTCTATTACCACGACGAAGACATGCATCTCAATGAGCTCAGCTATGACCCAGATACTACTACCTGGAACTGGGAGGGAATCATCAACCATGACGTTCCAGGAAGCAATGCCATCGCCGCAATTGACGGGAGAGATCAAGGCAACTTCACCGTCTTCACACCTCGAGACGACAAAAACATTCAAATCACGCAATGGGGCCTGGACAAGAATTGGTACATCTGTAAGTTACATCATCTGCCAGTTGCCATCCGGAAGCTACACCGACACCCTACTCCAAAACATCATCATACTAACCTCCCCCATCCATCCGTCCAGCCACCACTCCCCATCCACTCAAGGGCAACTTCAGCACCAGCTCCACCCCCTCGTCTTCATTCAAAATCGACTACTCAGCCCCCTCCAACTACTCCCTCCCCTTCTGGACGGGCCAGCCCAAATCCATCGGCATCAGCTTCTACACAGCCGCTAAGCGCAACGTCTACTACATCGGCAGCGACAAGTCCCTGTACCGCCTCACTACGCAAAACTACGTCTGGGGCCTCGCGGAGAACCAGTCCACAGCCTACTGGCCGCAAGCCGACGAAGCCAACGCCGAACTTACCGTCGTGAGCGCCATCATCCAGGAAACGAAGAACGCCAAAGTGCGCATTTATTATATAGTGGGCGGCAAGCTGGCCGAGGTGGCGCTGAACGGCAACGATAACGCTTGGAAGCCGTGGCGGGCGGTGCCGGAGTGGGATCCCAATGATGGCGCGAAGCAGCCGACTACCTCTACTTCTGGCGACGGCGACACCACCACGACCACTTCTCCATCAACTCCGTCCGGTTCCGGTTCCGGTTCCGGTTCGGCTACAGGCCCCGATACGGGAACAGCCACCGCCGAATCTGCCTCCGGTGGTTTCTCCTCTGGCGCCAAGATTGGCGTCGGCGTCGGCGTCGGCCTGGGCGTCGTCGCGCTAGGCGTCATCATGGCTGCCTTTTTCCTCTTCCGGCGGAACAATAACAAAAACTCTACCAATCTCCACAGCCCCGAAGACGGTACGACGGTTGTGGGATCCGAAGCCCCGAGCGCCACTACCTCGCCCATTCCGCCTTATGGTACGCTCGCCACTGGATACGGATTGGGAGCAGGAGCAGGGGAATGGGACCAGAAGATGCATCCTGGGGGTGCAGGATATACAAACGTGCAGCAGTTGGACAAGACGGAACGGCCGATGGAGTTGGACGCGCCTAGGGCGGTGTTTGAGTTGCCGGACCAGGCTTATCGTCATGAGTTAATGGCGGATCACACGGCGATAAGGGCAGAGGGGCCAGGGCATCATGGTCATCCTGGGGGTCAGGAGCATGTGGGGCAGAGGAGGGTGTAGTCACCGATTCTAGAATATCGAGATGATGGACATGTTAGGTGATGAAGTGAAGGAAATGGTATGTTTTGATGTGAATTGGCCTTGACGAGTTGACGATCAACAGGCGGACGAGCTTCTTTGATCTCCTCACGTTCGTGTTGACTGTAGCGATGACGAAGAAAGGAACATGTTGAGGATATGGCGTACAATGCTGGCCCGATGTTGTCAGATTATCTGTCACATGTGTATTTTTTTTATTTTTTATTATTATTATTATTGTTATTATTATTTTTTTCCACTTTTGTTGTTGGTAACAATATAATAATTTCATACATGTGGTTCATTCGTCCTCAAGCATCGCGCGGACAACCCAAAAAATGAGTTGAGTTCACTTTGTCCCAGGTTTCGTTCGGTTTCAAGAGTCATCTCATTTCTTTTCATACCTAATTTTCTCATACAACCATAACGATACCGTCCTTTTGCATTGTCCCCCCGATCTAGGTACAAGACTCCTTATCCATGCCAATTTGGTGCAAAATCACATTCACCACTGCTAAAACTCCCAGAGCATAAACATTTTAATCGTAAGGCATGAAATTGTAATGTAGGGAAGGCTTAATTGGCGACCGGCTCCAGTCCACGCTTCACGTCCTTGGCCTTGACGCCCGTAAGGTCGGGCTCAGGCAAGGTGTGCCGAGGGCGACCTCCAAGGATGTCAACAATCTCCTTCATACTAAGCCAGAAGGCAGCCTTGGGGCGTCTGTTGGGCCAGTCGGTCTCCTCCTCCTCCAACTTCTGGACCGGCGTAAAGATAACACTCGCTCCCTTGATACCGATGACGCTAGCGCTCATGGGATCCATCTTGACGCGGTTGTGCACGTTGCGTCCATACTTCTCAAGCTGCTGAATGCACTTGATGGCCAAACGGACAGCACGGCAACGGTCCATGCCCGAGGGAACACCACCCTGTTGCATGTGACCGGGAATACCCTCACGACTTTCGAAACGACCGTGGGCCTCGTCGCGGAGAATGTCGGCGATGAGCTTGGCATTGTAGACCTTGGAGGCCTTCTCATTGATTAGGATCAAGCGACCGGCTCTGCTCTGTCCCTTGTCCTGAGCGAACACCTCCTTCAGATGACGGACGTCTTCGCTAAGCATTTCCAAGCTAAGACCTTCTTCAGGAAGGTAAACGGCCGAGGCACCAACACCGAGACCGGCGAGAGTCGCGATGTAACCGGAACGGCCACCCTGTGTCTCAATGACAAAGACACGCCTGCGAGTGGCAGAAGCGGACTGCTTGATCTTGTCGCAATAGTCGACAAGCTCGTTAAGGCAAGTATCGGAACCGAGAGAGTACTCGGTGCCGGGAACGTTGTTGGAGATGGTCGCTGGGAGCAGCGTCATGGGGATGCACAGAGAGGGGTACTGCTCTCTGGCCTTGCGCAACTGCGAGACGGCGTGGAAAGCCTCGAAGCCACCGATGAGGAACAGGGCGTCAAACTGGTACTGCTCGATGAGGTTGGCGATGGTCTCCATGCCAGACTCGCTCGGGAGCTCACGGTTGGTGCCGATTTCGGAACCGCCCTTGCTAGCCCAGCCATCAACCTCAAGCCAGTCAAAGGGCCGCACTGAGCCCGGCGAATCGGCATGATGGCGCGCAAAGCCTGCAAAGCCGTTGTGGATCGCAATGGGTTCGTGACCACGAGACAAGCAGTACGACACACCAGCGCGGACGGCGGCATTCATACCTCCAGCGGGGGCACCGACGTTGATAAAGCCGATTTTCATGCGCTGAGCAGAGGTTAGCTCAACTCAACCAGATGAAACGCAAATAGCATGATCATCACTCACCTCCTTTTCAGGCAGCAATGTCTCGTGATCGATCTGGCCTGCAGTTGTCATCATGAACGACTTGTACTGCTCCGAAAACTCGGCATCACGAAGAGCCATGGCTCCGTCAAAATCCTGGCTTTCGATCGCCTTGGCGACTTGCTTGGTATCCAGTACCGCCTCCATCAGGGGCTTCCTGACAATCTTGTTTTCGGTAATGGCAATGAAGCAAGTCTTGGTCTCGGGAGTGGCTTCCAAGACAGCCTTGACGGCCTCAACACCCTGAAGGGTCGCGAGCATTCTGTCATATGCGACGGCAGTACCACCGCGCTGAACGTGGCCGAGGGTAGTGATGCGGGTATCGAGGGCGAGGCCATTCTTGTCGGCGAGAAGATCTCTTACTTCTTCGGGGCTGATCTTGTTACCAAACTTGTCGAGAGCACCCTCAGCGATAAGGACGATGGTCTTGCGCTTTCCAAGCTTGCGGTGCTGTTGTTTCCGTTTGTTAGCCATTGCTTATTCGGTGGCACTGTAGCCCAGGCCGAACATGGAAAACGTACCTGCTGGATAACGCTACGCATTTCCTCTCTCCAGTTGTCCTCCCTAGGTTTCTCGGGAATAAAGAGGAAATCTGCGCCGGTCGCAACAGCTGCCATCAAAGCTAGCCAACCGCAGTGTCTGCCCATGACTTCAACGACGAAGGCACGGGAATGGGAAGAGGCGGTAGCCTCGATCAGATCGACACACAAGCAAATTCTTGCCAAAGCCGAATAGCAGCCAACGGTGGCGTCTGTACCGGACAGATCGTTGTCGATAGAACCAACGATACCGACGATGTTGAGGTGCTTGTAAGCCTGAATTTGCTCGGCCGCTAGCTCGCCAGTAGAGACCAGCTCTTCCAACAGCGAAGGCCACTCGGCACGGAACCTGTCGGCACCGGTAAGAGAGCCGTCTCCTCCGCAGATAATGAGGGCATCGATGCCGTTGAGAATCATGTTCTTGGCGGCAGTAAGGCGACCAGCGCGCTCGTAGAAAGCCATGCAGCGAGCGGTACCGATCAAGGTGCCGCCTTCCGAGAGCCAGCCGCGCACATCAAACCAGTCCATCTGCTTTATGAAATCACCACCTCTAACCAGACCCTCGTAGCCTTCGTAGACGCAGTAGGCGTCGCAGCCCATGTGGATGGCCATGCGGACGCACGAGCGTACCACAGCGTTCATGCCGGGGGAATCGCCGCCCGAGGTCATGATGGCGATCTTCTTTCTGGGCGCCATCTTGATGGGTGCTGGCGCCATCTTTGTTGGTGGTACTTTGTGATGGGTAGTCGAGCTCAGCAGGAGTCGAATGCCTAGCGAGGAGGCCGAAAGGAGGACGAGGGCAAAGAGCGCCGGAAACGGGTTATTGAGGATAGACAATGGCCGAGAGAAGATGGCTCGGTCAAAAATGGGCATGCTCCAGGCTCCAACCTGGAAGCACCGAGAGATTCAAGGAGCCTTGTGCAGGTGTAGTCACTGTCCTGGCGATGTTGGCAGAACGAATGACGGCCCGTCTTGGATCGCAACAAGCAGAAGATTCGTGTTATGGATAGATAGGTAGGTAGGTAGGTAGGAGGTTCAGGAAAACGTCAAGAGAAAGACGGAGGCGAGATGAAGAGACAAAAAGAGGGCAACGTCAGCTTTCCACTTGGAAATCGGATGATGAATTCTTTTCAGTCTTGGCCGGGCAGCGGCCCAAGTGCCCGCAACAAGCAGCTCCTTGTAGTGAACCTATGCAGCTGCTGGGTAGTTACGCCGACAACTTAAGTGGAAGCTCGGAGTGGAAGTGTGCTCTGCTGATCGGCTACTGCAGTGACATGGATAGGTGACGGGGTGCCCTGGCCATCGGCGCTAAGCAGCATGAGGTGGTGCTAAGAAAAGAGCTCTTATCTTATCGTGTGCGGCGGGCAATGGCGGGGTCATTGTCACCTCTCCAGCGGCCTCACTGGACAGGAACCTCGACTTTAACATGCAGTGCCCGGGCAAATCGTCCGAGTCGTAACAGCACAGCAAACACCTCGCTCTCATCCGCAGGGCCTCCAAGTATCTCGGAGGAATTCTGACATGTCAAATGAAGACGTGGTGAAGCGTGGTGGTGGTGCCGGTCTCTTGAGTGCTCGGCGGATTGGGGTAGTCTTGGTGGTGAGGGGTTTTTGCAGCCCCAGCAAGAGCAATTGGGTCATTCGATGACATAACCGGCGGGGTGGAATGGCCATTAACAACGTCAATAGTATGGAGCCCGCCGTGCCCGCCGCGACCCACGGCAGAGACGATCCATTGCCAGGGCTCATCAGGGCAAAACCTTATTAGTACCACTTCTCTTCCCAGCCGCATTGGAATGGGAATGCCAAGGGGTCCGGATAGGATAGGGCCGAGCTGTATAAAATCTGTCCACCGTCTTCACAAAATCAAGTTATTACTCGTGTGAAACTGCCCATCATCTCTCACATGTTGCAGAGCGGTGTAAGCCGTGTTGCTGAAGAACATGTGATTTGCCTCTCAGGTGGTGAAAGAGTGGGAACAGCCTCACTCCGTTGACTGGAACAACTTTGCCCGCTCGGCCAACTTTTGGGGAAAAAAAACAAAAAGAAGGGCCTATCGATAACACAAAGGTAACACAGTGCAGTGTCTGAGCACTACCGCACGTAATGACATCCCTGTGCCATCCCTGCTGAACCATTTCGGCGCACCTTGCCGCCGTCCGGCCGGTACATGTCTCTCTGTGTGTGTGCCTGTCCGAGAAAGACGGAACAGACCCACGCGGCGCGCAAGGTTCCATAGTTTCCATCTCTTTCATTCACTGCAGTGCGACTGGACTGTCGCCCGGCGGCCCGCAATGGACGGGAACGGCACGGATGCAGTGGTCTGTGCGTCCCTGCCGCGCACGGCATTCGGCAGGTAGCTTCCACTGGCACTTCCGTAATGGACGCCCCAGTCTGTCGCCTTGACCTTCGAAACTGTATCGCATGCCCCTGGCTTCTTACGGCACAACCAACAACGATACTAGTACTTTACATTTTCAGTATTTGGAGGTCATTATACGGACCATGGACTCTCCCCTCAACCTACGGCCACGGCCGCCAAACAGCAGAGGGCCCCAAACAATCGCCGACTTCATCCGACGCGTCAACGCAGAGCCCGGTGGTTTTCGAGCTCTCAACGAAGAGGACGTGCGCAGGAACGTCATTGCCGAGCGCAATGGGCTTCATCACGAGGATGTCGAAATGGTTACCGACCAGGAGGCCGATGACGACTCCAAGAAACCCGACATCATTGCCGCTCGCCACAACATCATCATGAGCCTCGGCCAGGCGATCCAGATCTCCTCGAATTTCCTCGACTTCATCTCGCTCCTTCTCTCCAAAGAAATCCCCACGCAAGCTGCCGTCTCTATTTCGCCATGGCTACGAAGTCAAG